AAGACCATCTAGACACCATTGGCATACGGGATAGAAAATATCATGAGGAAACGTGGAAGTCCACGTTTCCTCTCAATAATATCTAATTACCTATAAGTTTAAAATCGTTAATCTGCATTGAGAAAGCGTGGTGATTAATACTTAAGTCCTTCTCTGTGTAAGAAGAGGCCTTTGCTCAGCAGGCACTTATAGGCTGGTTGGTGATTTGAAGTCAGATGATGTCAAAACCGACCGACATTGTAATCTCAACCACAAAAATTCGAAACTCTCATAACAAACGGTCATAACTACAAATCAACCACCAAATAAAATTAGAATTAGCGTTCACAATTCAGTACCATTTGTGGCACTTATGGACTTAAGCTCTGTAATTCTAACGATAGAGTACTATAATTATAACCATTAGCCTATGTAAACCGAGTCTTACAATTGATGTTGGTACAATTATACCCAAGTATTATGTTCATGAGTCAATTAAGGTCTAATTCTAGCGATTAGGTTTTGAGATAAATGCCTGGCTGCAAATGTAGCGGGGACTTGACACTATACGACGCTACCAGACGCGAATTATAAAAATAACATAACATCACGCCTATTATCCCCGATGGGGTAGGGAAAAGTGTCTGTGAAGGGAATCGAACCCAAGACCTTTTGCCCGGCAGTTGCAATTGGGACCACTCGGCCAACGAGGCAGTCGTCAGTTTAACGCCGAAAAATAAGTACATAAATAATATCTTCTTACCCTTATACCAAGCTACGTAGTTAGGGGTCGGCACAATGTATCTTCTTTAGCCATTCTTTCTTATCAGACATCATACTTTCACAAACTCCATTTTTTTCATATGACTTTTCAAACAGTACCATCTCCAAACTGCTACAATAAGAAAAAACGACAATATTTCTGATCATACTTCGAAATTTAATAACACTAAATCACTTTCAAGTTCAAAGAACTTTCGATCCAAGAGACTTATAAATAAAGCACATTATAATGTACTTTCTGTGGCTTAGCGATAAAGGTATTAGTACCTACCTATTCATAAAGCAAGGGCCGGGATTACTCGGTATATTTACAACCTTACGTGGTCTTTGAGAAATGGGGAGGGTCTTATCGCATTTAAAATGGTCGCCTAAGACTTTATGACTATTACTTTAAACTTTAAAGTATATTTTATAAGGGTGAAATTGAGTTTTTGAGGAGAACTAGAGTTTTATCGTGATTTTGGATGTGTTTTTTGTTTTTTCTTACTATGGTAATTGTATCATCTGTCTATAGTCATTTTTATCGTATTTAATTGGGTTTATTAATATTCTTCTTATAAAAATATTATATTAAACTGTCAAACACCTATTGTTCTATAGAGGTAATTGTGTCTATAATGACGGTACTTGACCAGTTAAGCTAAAGAGTTCGTTTGTTTGAATGCGCTAACTTCTGGAACTCGACTTACTTAACTTAATATCCTGTGTCTCCTAGATGGGGCAAAGGGGGTACACTGAAGTTCTCCATCGTGATCTGTCTTGTGCGTCATACCGATGCTCGTCGCTTCTGCTAGTACGGTGCGACGCCAGGTTTGCCAAGGACGGCCACGCTTTCTTTTCCTTTGGGGATTCCAGTCCAAGGGTTGCTTGGGTATATATCCAAGCTCTCGACCATGTGGTCGGGACCCCTACGGAGCGAGTGGCCTATCCATCCCACTTGCGGCGCTTGATCCGGCGGTCGATTAGGCTTTCGTGCCATTTATGAAAAACCTCTATGTTGGAGATGCCTGGCCAGTTAATTCCGAGAAAGCAACGCAGGCATTGGTTGACTTAAAATAAAAATTGTGTTGAATAGTCCATTTATCTAGGAAGGTTATAGGCTATAAAACATCACGCTATAATCAATAGGAACCAAGCAAAGCAGGGGAAACCACGCTGAAGTCGCTACCTAATAAATATAAGTAAGGTTAATTTGGCAACGCAATTTTACCTCCTCTGGTTTTGTGGATATCCACGGGCGGCGCTGATAACTTAGGCACCATCCAGTTATCCGTCTGTTCATTTTAACAGCAATAGCCTATGAGTGCCTACTGTTAGGCCTCGTCTCATACGGCGAAGGTTTGAGCGGTAATCACCACTCTTGCATAAAGCGTGTTGGTGATTTCTACCTTAGAAGTCCGGGGTTCCTGTTTTCAACCGACTTCAAAAAAAGGAGGAGGTTCTCAATTCGACCCGTATGTTTTTTTTTTTTTCTATATTTGTTACGCGATTACTCCGCCAATTATGAACCGATTTGAAAAATTCTTTTTTCGGCGTATAGGTAATACCTCAAGGTTGGTCCCATTTAAATTTACTAATAAAAATAACAACCCCCAAGGGTGGAAAATAGGGGATGAATTTATATATACGCAATAACTCCGCCGATTTTAAACCAATTTGAACGATTATTTTTTTATTGAATAGGTATTATCAAAAGGGTGGTTTCATGCGAATTTGAAGAAAATATTTCACCCCCAAGGGTGGAAAATTGGGGGATGAACTTTTTTATACGCAATATCTCCGCATAATGAACCGATTTGCACAATTCTTTTTTCGGCGTATAGGTAATACCTCAAGGTTGGTCCCATTTAAATTTACTAATAAAAATAACAACCCCCAAGGGTGGAAAATAGGGGATGAATTTATATATACGCAATAACTCCGCCGATTTTAAACCAATTTGAACGATTATTTTTTTATTGAATAGGTATTATCAAAAGGGTGGTTTCATGCGAATTTGAAGAAAATATTTCAACCGTCAAGGGTGGAATTTGAACGATTATTTTTTATATTTCACCCCCAAGAATAGAACGTTAGTTGTTACGAGATATCTCATTAAGGCTGCGCGTTTAGTAGGCCTACCCATATTAAATGCACTAAGGGTATCTACAAAAAAGTAACACTAAAAATTTTACCCGTTAGGTTCTTAGTTCGCGGGTAAACTTAATACGCTGGCACTGGCACCGACTCCAAAAAACAATAGGTAGGTATATAAGTATAACTATTTTAAGATATTTAGATGGTTTAACTTTAATTACTTTGATATAGTTTAGAAAAATTATAGTATTAGGTAATAGGTATTAGGAATTATTTTTTAATTTTTAGTTTTTTTTTGTGTTCTCGCATTTGAAGTCGGTTTTATTTTTTTTAAAAAGTTAATTATTTTATTCTTTATCTTATGTCACTGGTGTGTAAATAATCTAACAAAATATACATGTATAACTCGGAGAAAGTAAGAATGAAAGAAAAAAAATAATTTATTAGTCATTACTCATGACCCACTAAATACACAAACATAAAATAAAATTGAAATACAATATTTAAAAACATAAAATAACATTAAAAAAACAGCAGCGAAAAACTACAAAAGCAATTAACAATATAAAAAAATAAACGATCAACAGGGTGGCAACATGCCCATGATGAAAGACCCCACCAACTCAGATTGAGCTTCTCATTGAGATTGATCTCATACCTCTGAGTTTGTTTCGGCATTTCTTCTAAGAGTAGTCTCATCGTTTGCTTGATAAAATTGACGTGTAAAAGTGCTGCCTTGTAGCTTATTTGCAGAAATAAATTCACTTGTTTCACTTGTTATTGGTACTTTTCAAGTTTCGAACCTGTGACACAAATAACCGCTCTACCAGTGAAATAAGTAAATCGACGTCGAGACGTCGCCAATTAGTAATCTCAGCTACAATATCGATTTCATATCTCGTTACTGATTTCCGAGAATTAATTAAAATCCATTTTGAAACAATGTAGATAATAAATAATTGAGATATCATACCAATTACCTCTCCAATAACCAATTTTCAATTTGGCTTTGTCCGTGAGTTCAAAAAATACACTTTATTATGTCTTTTTTTTAAGGGGGGAAAATTATCGAATGACTGCTCCCGCCTGGGTGAGGCGGAGGGAGTGTCAGACTCTTACTGACTAAAAACCTCTCCTGCACGTCGAGCCAGAGCCCCTGTAACCCGTTAGGTTCACCGCGACACTATATTATGTCTAGACATTAAAATTATACCATGTAAGAGTTTTTAAAACCAAAAACACTCAATAATACTTTGCCCGACTTAGAAATCGCTCCCAAAACCCCTTGTGTAGCTGTCGCGCTTGACTAAAACGCAGTCAAAACAATAAACATGACTATTGTTTGATCGAAATGACTTCACTGAGATTACTGTCTACGTAACCGCACGGCATACGCACGCTTTCGTCAATTGACAAATACAAAACGAATGCTTGCATCTTGAAACAAACAACCACATGTCATGTGTATCAATCCTTTAAAAGGATCCATGAATTTGTTAAATGACGCAACTTGAACAGTAAAAAACAGTATAAAGTCATTTTCCTCTGTCTATCCCTGTCTGCTTAGATCTCTAAAACTGCGCAACGGATTTTGATGTGATTCTTTTAATGGATAGATTTATTCAAAAGAAAAGGTCATTATGTAAAATAAACGCGTCAAAAGCTAGTTTGAAATAAAACAAATTAATCGATTTATCATTCCAATTAAAATGTGAAATGGAATATAACTGGAGATTGTAATTAAAATTCATTATTGATTGTAATCAAATAATACATACAATAAAATTAATTTTTACCACAATTAAACAATTTCTGGCATCATTCGTTACGGGGCTAATTATCGACGATTTCATAATGACCCATGATTTTACAATTTTCGAAAATGTATTTCTGTTAATACCAGGTTTTCCACGAGTTGTTTTTCACCTGCAACTTGTTGAGTTTTCCAATTTAAAAGGATACAGAGTTGAACAAACAAAATGGCACGCTAACTTATTATTAGTTACTTTATCAGACACAACGCCAGGTTCTGTGCAAATAAAACAAATAAATACACTTCGATAAAACTTTATATAAACCAGGAATCGAAATCACACACATGACCTCTAAAATCAATAAAAAAATACAAAAAAAAATAACCTCAAGTTTTTCTTTGTCCACAGATTGAAAATACATCACGGATGACATAACGAGCAAAATGTCAATGTCAACGAGGTAGCCATTACGAATCCAAGATGGCGGCACACGACAAAGATTGGGTCGATTACTTCGGAGATTTTAACGACACGAGACAAATAGTTGACAGTGACAGTACAGATTTAGATATTTCAAAGCTTAATTATTATGATAATCAGACTGGTTATCCTGGTTATTCGAACTTTAGCTCAGATGATTTCTGTCTGTCAAACCATTCACATTTCTACTTAAATGTCACTTGCGAATTTCCGATTAATTATGCCGAACCTATGTATGGGTGAGTATATTTTGTATTTTGGGTTGTATTAGAGCCCCTTTACACTAGCGGTCCAGCGTAGGCGTCGAATAAAGCTACGCACTGCGCCCTTGCACTGACGCCGTGACAAGGCAACGCCAGATCGCCGTCTACGCGGCGGATACGTAGTATGAAGGAGCTATTAATTTTTTTCTTATTCCTGTTTTCCCTCTAATCCTCAAAGTGGTATGCAGAGGTGCAACTAATACATATAAGTGTATACAATATAACATCGATTTTCCCCAGTTTCGTACCGTAATGAGTTTCATTTAATATAGTATGTAAGCATATTGCTTAAGATTTTGCTATCGAAAAAAACTTCAATAATACTTTGGCCAACCGAGAAACCTTAAAAATAATAGCGAATTATTTACTCTAACTTGTCTAAAAACACCTACATACATAATTATGGCTTATCAAATATTATTTTATTTAGAAGTCTCTGTTACAAAAACATATCATACTTCCTTAGCAAAGTAAATAAATTTTATCCATATACCATGTATTACTTAAAACTTGTCCCAAATATACATCTAAACCACGACACAAGTAAATTACTGAAATACAGTTCTATTTCAGGAACATTTCTAAAATATCACATTTACTATTTTCTTCAGAAGATTTGCTGAAACCCTTACGGTACGTTGCTGAAAATGCTTTCACGAAATAAACTCAACTCCGCTCTCAACTCGATCAGATAAACAAGGGGTTAAGTAAATCCTTTTTACAAATTAAATTTTCGTTAATATTTAAACAAGATGAAATGAGATTTTTAAGGCGGCATTTATTTTATGGAATAAGCCAGCAAACGAGCACACGGATCACCTGATGGTAAGCAATCGGCGTCGCCAAGGGACACCCGGAACATCAGAAGTGTTACAAGTGCGTTACCGGCCTTTTGGGGATTAGGAATTTGAGGATTGTTGGGGATTCGGGGATTAGGGAGATTGGGGAGAAGATTGATTGGGCCTTCAGTAACCTCACTCACACGACGAAACACAATGAAAGTGTTAATTATATCACGTTTGTTTTCTGTGAGGCCGTGTCGGTCGAGCCGGCCCATTCGTGCCGAAGCATGGCTATCATTTTTTACCGTCACGAAATCATATTTATACGATTTTTATTTTCTATCTACTGAATGTTGTAGAATATATAGTAAAACTAAAATTAAGCTCTTGTTGTTCTGCTAATGAGTAATCTACACTTAGGAACGAGCAAATAGCTTAACTATTCCAATTTTATTGTTTTTCTTAAGTTACCTATGTGCATTTCTTTTTAATGTGGTGGATAAACAATTAGCGTCGTTCATAGATGTACGTAACACCAAAAGGCTTTCAAAGTGCGTTGCAGGCCTTTTACCGATTAAGGATGGGACGTCATAAATAAGGTGGGATTTAAATTTCGCTAGGATTTTCCTTTTTAGTGGATAATTGTAGTATTATGTACTCTGTTAGTTAAGATAATACGTTTTACCGGCCTTTTGGGGATTGGGAGTTTGAGGATCGTTGGGGATTCACGAATTGGGGAGAATGGGGAAGGGGAGGGTAATTGGGCCTCCGGTAACCTCACTCACACGACGAAACACAACGCGAGCGTTGCTTCACGTCGGTTTTCTGTAAGGCCGTGGTATCACTCCAGTCGAGCCGGCCCATTCGTACCGAAGCATGGCTCTTCCTCACTTAAAAGTATCTAAATATTAGTACAGATCCCTCATTACTCTAAATCACATTAATCGTTGAATTTCTCAAGCGAAAATTTAGATTTTCTATTAAGTAAAGATGAATTTGTTTGTGGAGCAATATAAAGGGTGCTCCCCGTCGACGATTTTAACACGAATCTAAATATTAGATATAATAATAGGATATTTGACTGTCTCATTGATCGGGTCGCTGGGGTCTCGGGTTCGATCGCTGGGTTAAACAAATATTAGACAATATTGAGCTGTTCCGTGTTGAAATTTCTAATAATTACTTGGATTTGGATTAGGACTCAGTAAAGAATTGAAATTAGAATCTTGAGTTATTTTATTGGTCGGATTATCCTATGCATGGATCTTTGGGTTATTTTTTGTTAGAGTCAAATATTAATTGGATCTATCGATTATCAAAATTAGTACGGGGTTTAGATTTGTGTCATGTTTGGCATAATTATATAAACCTTACTAAACCATACAATTAGTCTAACAACATAACATCACGCCTCTTGTTCCCGAAGGGGAGGCAGACGTGCACATTACGGCACTTAATGCCACTATACAATGAACACCCACTTTTCACTATTTATGCGCGTTGCCGCCGTTTAAGAGGTTAGGAATTTAACGATTAGGGGAGATTATATTACACAAAAATGAACTAAAAACCATTCATTTCAATTAAACAATAATTTTGGTACATCAAAAAATATAGAAATAAATAATAGTCTACCAGTCTGTTCATCAGTGAAGCTAGTTGCTCATTCCAAAATGTAGATTCGAATAGAGAAGAACAACCAAGAATCTATCCATTCGTTACTCTTGTCTTCTATATCTATATGTATATAAAAATGAAACCCGTTTCCCGTTGTCACGCCATAACTTGAGAATGGCTGGACCGATTTGACTATTTTTTTTTTGTTGTGTTTGTTATTGTCAGGAGAAGGTTCTTACGATAGAAATTAGAACGGGAGAAGTCGCGGGCTAGTTAAATAATAAATTCTTCTCCTTCACAGGTACATTGCACCATTCCTTCTAGCAACAACGACTGTAGCAAACACACTAATCGTCGTGGTATTATCGAGACGTCACATGAGAACTCCAACGAATGTAGTACTAATGGCTATGGCTCTCTGTGATATGTTCACCATGCTATTCCCAGCACCATGGCTCTTCTATATGTACACTTTTGGAAACCATTATAAGCCCCTGAGTCCGGTGAGAGCGTGTCAAGCATGGAATTATATGAACGAGGTGAGTTTTTTGTTTGTTTACTAAATTGTGACGTCACTATTTATGTATTACGGTCATTGCACACCTAACAATCGCGCTTACAACCTTTTTTTTATTGTTTCCAAAGCTAAAACCACCGTGCCGGGGCCGTGCTTGAGGCGTGCTTGAGCCGTGCTTATTAGGTGTACGATGACCTGTACTCGCTTTTATTATAAGCATTGAAATCTATTATATGTATTACGCACTTCAGTGTTCCGGTGTTTTCATGGTTGTATCTACTATAGATCCTGGCTTACAGGAGTTGCAGCGGTTTTGGGAGGGTGTGGCAGGCTTATACCTTTAAAAAAATGTATTAAGCAATAGACGACGTTTAAAAGTATATTTTTTAGTTTTTTTTTTATGGGATAAGTCGGTAAATAAGCTAATGGATCACTTGGTAGTAGGCAATTGGCGCCGCCCATGGACACTCGAAACTCCAGAGGCTGTACAAGTGCATTGCCGGCCTTTGATGATAATCCTTTGAGGATAATGAATTATTTGTGGATTGTTGGGGATTAGGGAGAGAAGGTAACGTCACTCACACGAAGAAACACAACGCAAGCGTTGTTTCACTTCAATTTTCTGTGAGGCCGTGGTATCACTCTGGTCAAGCCGGCCCGTACGTGCCGATGCATGGCTGTCCCATAACAAAATTGGTTGACATTGACTTGGATTATTTGTGTGCATTTGTTAAGAGCGCTTTAGGTTTTGATTCCCGGGTAAGTCGAAATGTTCATTGGTTTTCGGCTTTTACTTAATTATTAACACCAACTCATTTTTACTGCTAGACATAGGCCTCTCCAAATAGCACGACTTTTAGTCCACTTATCGATGATTCCTAATCTATTACTAATATATAGTATAACGCTGAAGAGTTTATTTGCTTGTTTATTTGTTTGTTTGTCTGTTTGTTTTAACGCGGTAATCCCCGGAACTACTGATTCGATTGGAATAATTCTTTTTGTGTTAGATAGTGCAGTTATCGAGGAATGCTATTTCATAAACATCACGCTACAATAGGAACTGAGCAGCGTGTAAAAACGCGTGGGAATAACCTGTAGTGTGTGTGATACCTCTACCGACGGCCCCATTCATGTGAACGATTAAAATTGTAAAAAACAATTTCTTTTTGTTAGCGTTTTGGGAGCTTCCGTTTACGGGGGAGGTGTAGTGACACCTCACCCTTTAATTAAGCATCTTAAACTGTCAAACACCAAGCGGTCACCGGTGACCGCAACCTATTGTTCTATAATTGTGTCTACAAAACCGGTACTCGACGAGTTAATATCTATCTTACGCTACTTACTTATAGGGCGAGGTGTCATACACACTACAAACCAATATTTTATAATGCTTATTGTCGAAATCTTAAAGAACAAGATACTCAAACCAAATCCGTTTTATGCAAAATATATCATAAAACCTGGATATATTTACATTGAAGTACCTAACTTTATCGTAATGGAAAATTTTAAGCTTCATTGAAGAGCCTATAAAATATTTTATGTACAACAGTATTGTACTTCGACGTCGTTACCTTTTGCAAATATCAACATTTTCATTTCTAGTATAATAATATTGGCTTTAAAAATATATTAAGCGCTTGTTTTCCCACCTTTATATAAGTACCTGCCTCGTTGGCCGAGTGGTTAGTGCGACTACTAGGCAACTGGATTCAGAGGTGCACATTACGCCAGTTGGTCCCACTGTACAATGTAACACCCACTTTTACTATTTATGTTATGAGTCCCATGTAATAGGGGTGAGCCTATTGCCATATACCGGGCACAATTCAAGACTCCGTGCTACTACTGAAAAATTAAAAAAATAACCAGTAATACTTTGCCGTACCCGGAAATCGAACCCGAGACCCCTTGCCTGGTACTTGCGGCCACTCGGCCAATGACGCAGTTATAATATTAGTGTGATTAATATTAACCCACCCTGTATAACTCGTTCACTATACAGGATGGTAATAAATCAGTGTAACTATTTAAAGCTTAATTAAAGTTCTTTACTACTATAAGACCTTTGTTAGCTCTAAATCGCGTGCAACATGCATTTGCAAAACCTAATCAGGTTCTTATAAATAGACTTTGTATAATACCTAGTTTTTTAAAAACTATTACAAACATTAAACTTTGCCATTGGTTTTTCATAACATAACATCACGTCTTTTATCCTCGAAGGGGTTGGCAAAAACGCACATTACGGCACTTAATGTTACTGCCGGGAATCGAATCCGAGACCCCTTGCTCGACAGCGGCACTCTACAACGAGACAGCCAGATCGATTAGTTGGTTTGATTTTTCAAAAATGTAAATAAAAATGCCCATAATAAATATGTAACTCCAAGTAGCTACTTTTTACCATTCCAGTAAATTTTCGTATTCAATTCCCGTTTAGGACAAGCACTATCTACACTTTCACGTACTCACTGCACGGAGTCCGAAATTATACCCGGTATGCGGTATGTGGCAACCTATCTCCAGAACTACTGATTCATAATTGAATAATTTTGAAGGCCTTTTGTGTAGGATAGTCCATTTACCGAAGAAAGCTATAAAACATCATCACGTTACTCTCAATTGAAGCCAAGCCATGAGTGAAACAACATGACAATAGTTACTTTAAAACTCATAACATAATTTTTATTTATTAGATAAGCCAGTAACGGAGCAGACAGATCACCTGATGGTAAGCAATCGGAACCGCCCGAACACATAAACATTAGATGCGTTACAAGTGCGTTACCGGCCTTTTCACATCATGTGGGTTTTCTATGAGGCCGTGGTATCTCTCGCATTCATGCTGAAGCACCACTTCTCCCACGAAGCACACTTCCCCCACGAAGCACCACTTCTCCCACGAATCACAAATTCACCCACGAATCACCACTTCTCCCACTAATCACAACTTCTCCCGCGAAGCACCAGTTCTCCCATGCTTATGTCATAATACTCAAACGCCACTTAATTTTAAGTCGCGCTTAAGTATAGTTCTGCCTCTGTCATTACAAATTCCTTGTATATAGATAGCACGATATTTAAGTACTACTTAAAATTGGGTAACCTTTAGTATTCGGGTGTTAGTTCTTGTATAATAATATAATATAATAAGCAGAAATTATAATTTCTGCTTATCCTCTGTAAGAACAATATGCGTTAACATACTAATGTAACTAGTTTCAAACAATGTAACGACATAGATACCTAATATCAAACATCAGCTAATCAACTGTGATGCGATCATGTTAGGCGTTGCCTATTCACGGCAGTACGCTCCAATATCGGTGACCGGATTATAGCACGATTTCAACTGAACCGTAATATTTGCGAATAATGATAAATTTGTAGAAAAGCAGATTTCATGGTTTACTGACTTGTTTCCAATTGAATAATTAGATTTATTAGACTTGAGATTGAGTCATAACAGTGGCCCAATGAGTCCAAGTCGTTTACCAAGCATGGGGTAGATAGTAAACCGTGGGAGTTTAAGTGTGGGAGAGCCATGCTTCGGCACGAATGGGCCGGGTCGACCGGAGTGATACCACGGCCTCACAGAAAACCGACGTAAAGCAACGTTTGCGGTTGTGTTTCGTCGTGTGAGTGAGGTTACCGGAGGCCCAATTACGCACCCCTTCCCCAATCTCCCCAATCCCTGAATCCCCAACGATCCTCAAACTATGGGATAACTCGGTAAACGAGCAGATGGATCACCTGATGGTAAGCAATCGGCGTGCCCATGGACACCTGGAACACCAGAGTTACAAGTGTGTTACCGACTTTTTGGGGATTAGGAGTTTGAGGATCGTAAGGGATTCAGGGATTGGGGAGATTGGGGAAGGGGAGGGGAGCTAATTAGGCCTCCATTAACCTTACTCATACGACGAAATACAACGCAAGCATTGCACTCCGGCCGAGCCGGCCCCTTCGTGCCGAACAAAAGAATGGCTTACACACTTATATCTATTTACTGTATCACTATCATATCTATATTCATCACTCTAGCTATTTAAAAAGCGCATCAAAATCCGTTGCGTAGTTTTAAAGATCTAATCAAACATCGGAAGAAATAGCCGAAAATGACTATGTTTTATAGAATGTCGTTGATTACATACCTCTGCCAACTTCCTTACGGTGTCGCAGTCGATTACCTAGTAAGATGACTACAAAGCTACAATATAATACATAGACCAGATAACGTTTACCAAAGAGTATAATTGTCTTGTTACTGAATTCGAACTTGCACAAAGGCGACCTCAAGCCGTCAGATGAATCGTAACCTACGGACTGGCTTAGTCAGGTTCTGTTAGCAAGGATCTTACTTGTAGATTGTAAAGATGAAGCTCTTTGTAAACTACGGTGAAAATTCCCCATTAATCCCCTTCATCTCGAGAGGACGTGACATAAGGGACTATTAGGGTTATTTTGCACCGGGGTACCATTTTTTTAATGAGAGAAATTCATTGAGGGACTCTCCCATCAGCGTCAAGGCGGGAGGGAGTGTTAGTCTCTTACTGACCAAAAACCACCCCGATCCTATTCCTGCACTTCGAGCCGGAGCCCTGGTAACCCCATGGTCATTCGATGATTTTCCCCCCTTAAAAAAAAATAAAAAAAGGCCGTCTGCCTAGATGATTCCTGTAATTAGCTAAGCGATAATGGGGTTTTTATCTTATACTATAAAATAAAAATAAAATAAAAATGCCCTTTATTCCACTAATTACAATGTTTTAGACAAAACTTATTTCGATTTAAATCATTTCAAAGTAAACAAATGCTAATAATGTTATGTTCTTTCTCTTAAGCTGTTTATGTAAATCCGTTCCTTTTAACCTGTTTCTTCTACTCTGGTTTATCTTCGCTATTCATCATTCATCATTCATCTATATAATACATAGTATATTATCTTATACTATGTATTATATAAAAATAAAGAGTTAATTAGTTTGTTTGTTTTAACGCGCTAATCTCGGAAAC